GCCCTGGGTGATTATGCTGATGGAGAATTTGGTGGAATGAAGATTGGCGGGGGAACCAAAGTACTTGGAGAAAACCCGCCCCAGTGCCACTTCGTCCACTACAAATCCCACTTGACCAGACCCAGGATCAAACCTGGGCTGCCGCAGTGGGAAGCCAGCGACTAACTGCCTGAGCTATGGCGCGGCCTATGGTGATGATTGTTCAGATTGTGGTCTTCTGGGCTGTGACACCATGTAGTCTTGTAGGTGGATATTAATGTTTAGGAGGAATATGCTGGTTCCATCTTCAGGTTAGTAAGCACTTGTTAGTTGCTGATAGAGACAGCAACAAAGTAAGGAATTATTTGAATGCAGCGATTTGTTTAAAGTGGGCAGAGATTTATAATTCTGATAGTGAATTTAGTATTATTCCTGATATAGCACGTGAACAAAGGGCAAGGAAGTGGCAGAAATTTAAGCACGGAGTACAGACCTACTGACTCCCTAATTTACCATCAAAATGCCTTGGAATTTCTAGCAGGTAGCACAGCAGTTAAAGGGTTAAAAGAAAATATAGAAAATTAAATGTGTGAAAAATGATTGGGTGTATGTTGATCATAATTTTGTGATGTTGATATTGCAGTACAGGAATACTGGTTCAAAAGAAAACGGAGAGCTGATTGAAGAAAACAGTAGTACCACAAAACCTGTGATGAATGCGGATCTAAAAGCCCTGATACAGATCACAGAACAAGAATTGCAGGTAGAATTGGGTTTTGTTAGTGATGAAGATGAGGATGATGACACAGAGGACTGGGAAGAGTACGAAAGTGATGAAGAGGCAAATGCTAATGCCCTGTTCCACCTGGAGTTTCGCCAGCACAAGAAGGACTACTATATGAACAAACTGGAGTATGACACTGTCAACAAGTATGTTTAACATATATCTGTCTGTGCATCTCTGTATGATTATCATACTAAACATCTATATTATATTTCAGCATCCTGTTACACTCACACAATATATATNAACATCTATTTCAGTAAAATCCCTATGTAATGAATCTGCGGATGAGTGAGGTTTTTGCTTATCTTCATACAAACTCTGTTCTGTAAGAAAGAAGTTCTGGGAAGAACTAATCACCTACTTTCCCTTGATATGACATGGACCACATTATTATTATTATTTGGAGGATGTGGGTTTCCCCATGCACTGCGACCATTTGTTGATATATTGTGCGGCCCCCTTTAATTATTCTAACTAGTTGCCATGCCCTTCCAATACTGGTGCTCGCTATCGTCCTGTTCTGCCATTGAGGTCGGCCCTCTCTGGCAGTGGTCCCTGAATACTTCCCCATCTACCGGAGGGATTGGAAACTACTTGGGCGGGAAACTTGCCTAATTTTGCTCAGAGGCCTCCTAGAGACACGAGGATGTTTTACGTGCCATAAATCTACGACGCGGGACACAGCCTTAAAAATTCCAAGACCTCTGCTGGGTTTGAACCCGTGTACCTTGAGTTATGAGGTGGGAAAGTTACCCCTAGACTACGGAGGCCGCTACATGGATCACATAGAAATTGATGCCACTAACTTTTCACCTACTGATATGGGGAATCAGGCCATGGAGGTCCATAGGTTGTGAGATGTTCAGGTTCCCATGTTTTCTAGACAGTCGCCTCATAAATGGCAGTAAGGTTGTCAGCCCTACGTGCCGGCTGCCCTTTACCCCCAAGAATATTCGTGGTACTCATTTCTGTTAGAGGCTGAGTCGATCCCAGGGTCATAGTGCGGCTGGAAGGATTAGGTAAATTAAAAAAAATATCCACCTCATCAGGATTCGATCCTGTGACCTTCTGACTTGTAGCACAGTGCCTCAACCAACTACACTACCGTGTGCCACCCAGTTGGCACGTTACACATACAAAGTTTCATAAAGACTGGTGCAGGCATTTGGAATGTGGATAGCTTGGTTAGTGTGGCAACAGGCTGCTGGCTACAGGCTGGGTGATCCAGGTTTGATTCCTGGCAGTGAAAAATACTTTTCTCCTCCACAGTGTCCAGACTGATTCTGGGGCCCACCCAGCCTCATATCCAATCGGTGCTGGGGGTCCTTTTCCTGTGGGTAAAGCAGTCTGGGCATGAAGCTGACCACTCCCCTCCATCTAGTGCTGAGGTCAAGAATGGTGGAGCTATATTTGCACTCCCCTGTACGTCTTCATGACATAGTGCTTAACTATTTAAGCACAGGGACACCTTTACCTTTACCTTTACCTTTGGTTCAGGCATTCAAAAGCTGATGAGGGGGGACACACAAACACACATGCACGCACACATATAAATGGAGGTCACATAACCGTACTCGTACTTTTGTTTTTTAAAAATGAGTAAAGTAGGCTAAAAAAGTAATGTTATCTGTGAGCTTAATTAATTAAGCACCATGACGTGAAGATGTATGGGGAATGGAGGTATGGCTCCACCATTTTTAACTTTGGTATTAGATGGGGGTGAGTGGTCAGCTTTACACCCTTGCCTGGAGAAACAGCCCTCTGTCTAGTTGCTATACCAACTGAGCTATCCTAGTTCTTTATTGTATTTATTTATGATAAAACGATTTTCTGTGTAAGTAATTAAAGAAACGGTTTCTACAGAAATGAATTTAGTTACATGATCACTAATATCAGACTGATACTTGAAATAATCAGTGACATAGGACAGATGCACTGAAAGAAACTGGATCGAGAAACAGAGCAGCTATACAGCCACAAGTAATAATTAAGGTTCAGTTTCTCAAAGGCTGAACATTTCTTGCAGTAAATGCCGGTAAGTTCCTAAACCAAATTTAATTAAATGTGGAGAAATAATAAGTTATTTATATTGGGCTTCAGCTGGAACAAGAACAAATATTTACTGAGTATAAGAAGTCCCTAATTGTGGGAACACAAAATTCCAATTTAATTTTATTATAATAGGGGTGCTCCTGCTAGTGCTTCCCTGTGTATCCATTACCTGGGTAAATGTCAGTTCATTTATAGTTCTTGTCCCAGATGCATCATGTAACACCTTTGGTCAGTACTTACTTATTTTAAGTGCCTCCTTATTGTCCACGAACAGGGAATTTTAAGTCCAAGAGGAATGATATTGGTATTAAAAAACTGCAATGCGTTGTTACCTCGGCCCTGAACACATGCTGTTACAATAACAAATCGCACAACCAGTAAGCATTAATAGGCATTTATTATGAAAATAGATTAATAAAAGGTAACTATGCAAAAGCACAGTTCAGATATTTGGGAACAACAATAACAAATCAAAACCTGATTGAGGAGGAAATTAAGAGGAGATTGAATTAGGGTAATGCTTACTACCATTCAGTCCAGAACTTTTTGTCTTCTCATCTGCTGTCCCAAAACATAAAAATTAGAATATACAAAACAATAATTTTGCTGGTGGTTTTGTGTGGGTGTGAAACTTTCTCTCTGACATTAAGGGAGGAACATAGACTGAGGGTGTTTCAGAACAGGATGTTGAGAATATTTGGACCGAAGAGGGATGAAATGACAGCAGGTTGGACAAAACTGCATATTGAGGACCTTCTTAACTTGTACTCTTCTCCAAGTATAATTAGAATGATCAATTCAAGGAGGATGAGGTGCGCAGGGTATGTAGCATGAGTGGGGGAGAAGAAGAATGCATATAGGATATTGGTGGGAAAGCCAGAAGGAAAGAACCACTGGCAAGACCAAGATGTAGGTGGGTGGACAATATTAAAATGGATCTTAGACAGGATGGGATGGTATGGATTGGATAGATCTGGCTCATGATAGACTAGTGGAGGGCTCTTGTGAACACAGTAATGAACCGTTAGGTTCCATAAAATGCTGGGTAATTCTTGAGTAGCTGCAGATTTGGCTTTTCAAGAAGGGCTCAGCTCCATAAGTAAGTAAGTAACTATGCAGAGGCCATTGAAACAGGTCTCATGATCAGGGGGATGACAGTGATTGAAGCTTTGCCCTCTCTGTTTGCTATTTTGTTTCTCTGTAGCCCCTCCTGCGTAATATTACCCAGTGTAAAGCGCTTGTCACTAAGAAAACTCATTACTGCCAACATTCATGTGAACAGAATGACTATATAATTGGCAGGGGAAATGTAACAGCTCAAGGGAGATGAGGAGAGAGTTATCCATGAGATGTCGTTCCTTGACCTCACTGTCAGCACCCTACTAGGGAGGCATCTAGATGCTGTTGTTACATGCAAGTGGGTTGCATGGCTGGTTTGCTCACTGAAAAAGGTCACCCTCTTCCCCATGATAGATTTACATTTCTTTTTATCATCTCATTCCAAAACAATTCATATGTGTTATATTTTCGACATTACTTTTCAAAACTTTAACTGCTTCAGCATAAATTGTACTTTTATCATACCTTTCAATACCAAATTTAACCCAAATCCATCAAAGAGATATACAGGTGGACAGACAGAACCTCCGCATTATGCATTTATTTAATGCATTTTGTATAAAGAACAAATAAAAAGTGTTTGATTTGTTTCATTCTGGTCCGTCACACTAACAATTACAAATATATTTTTTAAAATATTTTTTAAAAACTTTACATTCCCAGGAAACTGCTGTGTTTGTGAAATGTTCTATTTTGTGTACTATGCATTGTAGCATATAAGTGTACGTACTTTACGTCTAAACAACTTATGTGATGGTGGTTTCCTATTTGTAGTGATGTTTGCCCTCTGAAGATGGTCCACGGAGACCGAAACATGTAAGGGTGTTAAGTTTTCATGTAGTAAAAAAACTTACAGGTCACATTGGACGGAGTGATTTATATTTGTAAAAAGTGTTTGTTTAAAAAAAACTGAATCATAAAATTTGGTAATAATTTTTTGTTTAGGTCTGTAGTTTTTTTTTTTTTTTGCATTACCTACAGTTTTGATTCTCATATTTTTCAGTGATGTACTGCGTTCTCAGGCAGATGGCTATGTGCGTGCCATCCAGTGGAACCTGCACTATTACTATAATGGGGTGTGCTCTTGGTCTTGGTTCTACCCGCACCACTATGCCCCATATATCTCAGACATCTGTAACTTCTCAGAGACATTGGATTTAAGTTTTGACATAGGGGAACCATTCCTGCCTTTTCAGCAGCTGTTGGCTGTACTTCCTGCAGCTAGGTAATACCAACTGTTGATAGTCAGCGTCAAGATAAATTAGGAAGACTTGTTTTCTTTCTGTGGCAGTGATATTGAAGTTGTTTTTAGAGCCAAATGACATCTTTATTATTGTGGAGGAAATGTCAAATTGCAGCCAGATTTTGTTACTGTACATGTTTCTGAAATGTTCTTTTATTTGTCTACAAAACAAAATTTTTTATTAGTAGTTACTGTAGGATTTTGACGATGGTGTATAACACACAGAGATATTGGGTTTTCGGACTTTATCCATCGTCCTGGTTTTAAGATAACTAAGAAAAACACGACCTTTCGGAAACTGGATCTGTTTCCGTCCTCAGGCGAGGGAAAACACCTATTCTGTTGGGTCCCTTAGAAAGAGCTAGCCTCAATCACTGGACCAAATTTTTTATAAAAACTATTGTTACTGAGGTATGGCGTTCTTATGGCAGCGACTTTAAAGAATGTGATATCATATAGCCTGATAGTATGTTACCACTGTTTGGAAGGAGCCTGTTGCATCCATGTTCAGAAGCTGAAGATAGAGACAGTAAGTTCAACAAAAATGTTGATATGTTTTTTGTGAAGACTGATTGGTGTCGCATCCCAGGAAACTGTAATCTTTAATTGTTATTCTTTGTCAGAGTGTCCCATATTTTTGTTCTCTTTGTTTGAACACCTTCTCACTTCTCACAGTAAGAAGCTGCTACCTTTACCATATCAGCAGTTGATGGATGAGGAGGACTCGCCAATTTTTCACTTCTACCCATCTGAATTCAAGACAGATCTCAATGGAAAGAAACAAGAGTGGGAGGCGATTGTGCTGATCCCATTCATTGATGAGGTAATATGGCAGTGTGTAGTTGCAGTCTGCTCACCAGATCCTGATACTAAGTTGTGTTATTCTACAAAATGTACAGAGGGGTCCAAAAAAATTGTACTCACTCTTTGATAGTATCTTTGGAACAAAATGACATGTAATTACAATTCTTGTGCGGAGAGAGAGAGAGAGAGAGAGAGAGTCATTGTATGTGTTCGAAGTGACCACCATCAGCGGCTAAACAGCGTCGATGTCGCTGAACTGCTGAGTGAACTACGGCTGTCAGTGTGTCCAGTGTGATGGCTGTGCATGATGCTTTGACAAAATAAGAACAGAATAGTAAGCCTTGAATAAATGAATGAATGGATGGATGGCTAACCCTTAGCCTTCTGTTTTGTACGTGCATGTATAATAATCTCTATGTTCTCTTGGATAACAGGAATCGCTTCTGAAAGCCATGGCTCCATGTGACAAACAATTGACAGAGGAAGAATGCAAACGTAACAGTCATGGTCCAATGCTTATCTACACATACACAGAAAATGATCTTGGTATGGAAAAGAAATATGTTTAACTTACAATTCAGAATTTGCTTATATAATACTTGCCCTTCACTGTCTGTCTCCATTGTGTATATGTGCATGTATGGATGTGGGTGGTTGCAACATGGCCATCTTCAGTCTGTTTCATACCTTTTTCCTCTAATCAGCCATCCAGCATTGTGGATAAAGTGCAGCACCATGTTTGTTGTTGTAAAGCTGTTTCTTATTTTGTCATCACCCATCTCATTTTGAATAAATGTCCATTCAAGTGACAATGTCCTTCTAATATTCCTGTTACTTTTCACCTGGTTCCTATTCAGTTCCAATACTGCATAGTTCTTTTAACGGAAGGGCCATGAAGGAACCCTTTTGCATGTTTATCATGATTTAAGTTAGCAGGTTTTCATGGCAGATGTTTACACTGTGGCTGTTTGGGTTCTGTAGTATTGTAGGCGGATGCCAGTATTTTGGAGGAACATTGGGCACAATATAAATGTGTTTTTCTGTGTTAGGTCTATATGAAGCGCCACAGTTTTTCCCTCCTCTGAAGAACAACCATGCTGCAGTATGTAAGAAGACAAGGGATGAAATTAATGTTGATCGCAGTCGTCTGGTGAAGGGTTTGTGCCCAAATGTGCGGCTGGATGTCTACTTTCCAGGCTTCCCTACTCTGAAACACATTCCTCACACTGTGAGTTTTTTGAGTCACATATAAGTCGCACAGGATATCACATGCCCTCAGTATCATCTCAGATTTGAATAAATTCATTTTCATGAAAGTCAGTTGGAGGATCATACAAGTAAACTAAAGATTTCTGACTGCGGTATATTGTACTCAGGATCTATCGTTTCATATTCAGAACAGAGTGCAATGTTTTCCGAGGCTGAATCTCTCCATCTTCAGGTTGAAAGGTGGGGAGACGTTCTGTCTGGATCTGTTAGAAAGAGCTACAAGTAATCTTGAACATTGGAAAATCTAACTCAACTAATTTGTGGGTGCCTCCCTGCCTTTTCAGCTTACGATGGAACCAGATCCAGATTCTGAAAGTTGTGTTGTGCTTGTAATACTAGACATGGACAGAGTCCAGAAACCCAGCAATCCTTATAAATCATACCTTGTGTAGTTTGCATTATTCCAGTGTTGTGTGAGAGTCAACCAGAGAGGAATGGTTGACAAGTGATTCACCAAACTTTCAGTTTGGAAGTTAGAACATCATTGTATAACTTATTAAACTGCTTTTCTTCATAGATTGCCCCTGTGTATACTGAAACAGTTATTGTGCTATGGGATGTTTTGACATCTTCTGTACATGGAAGTCAGTGTCCTGTTCGTTCAACTAACATTTTACTGGTGGTCCCCATTGTCATCGGTCTTTAATATTGTTATATTTTAGCGTCCTGTTGCACTGATTTATGTCCATGATTTATTCGAGCCGTCTTACAGTGCATACACTCATTCACCTCAGTCTTCACTCCTGCACTACATGTTTCGGCACAAAGGTGTCATCCTCAGGTGCTTTTCGATTTATGTTAAACTACTTCACTGCATGCCTTGCCGTCTTCATACTAAAATAACTAAAATATATGTTCATCATATATATCGAAAAATATTAAATATTAAAAATATTAAAAATATATATTAAAACTGTTCAGGATTTTTTATCCCTACGTCGCATCTCAATACGCGAGTCACACCTATCCTCTTCTATTGGAGCACTCTTCCTACTTTCGTGTGTGTATTGTGCTTTGTGTTGTGTCTTGCTCCTGTGACTGCGTGTGTCACGCAGATGCTGGCATCTGTGGACAGGGCACAGGAAAACTCATTCTGTGATATGAGTTTCTCATTTTCCTGACGTCTCATGTTGTTTAGTTGGTTCTGTTCACATCTTGCAGTTAATTTGTTGTTATTAAACTGACTCATATATTTTTGTATTTTTATTTTTTGAGAATATTGGCAGTGTTTTTTTGGAATCAAACCTGTAATCCCATGAATATTAAATTTGTAATGGTTGATACACAAATCTGGTTATTTATAGAATTCTAGGGGAGCACAGAAGTTTAGGATTCAGAGATTATAGGCCATTGATTTAATAAATAATAACAGTAAAGTATTGTCACACGTTAAGTGACTAGACACAGGGTTTGGATTGGTGATTGGATTTATTGGACTTTTGAAACTTGTAACTATAGCGCTGCCACTAATTCACGCACTCTGCAGTTCACCACAGCATACGCTGAGTCTTCTCAGTCTGCTATGTCTTCACTGGTTGTCACCTGGTAACCGTCCCAATGCCATAGACCCTCAGCCTCCATGTTACAGAGCCCCAGTCCTTGCTGGCTGGCATCTACCTCACAACTCAATTAGGAATTGCCTGGTCACAGTCTTCTAACAAGAGCTACTCTCTTCACCCTTATGGATCATGAAGTGCACTCTCTAACCACTGTCTCAAGACTCTTAAACAACTTGTGACTACACTTCACAAATCACTGTCACACACAGAATAATGTTCTCAGTCATGGTCTTCACTGTGCTGCTTAGTAACGGATCTCACAACACTGTAGATTCCTCAGTGTCCATATTCCATGCCTCCAGTCTTTGCTGGCTGGCATCTGTCTCATGACTTGGGGTTGCTACACAATGACTTACAACAATGGGGGCTCCTCTGCCTCCCATGCCTCTGCCAAGGGGTGGCGACTGTCTCCCAACTACTAACTGCAGGCTCAATCTATTACTGCCCTGCCACCAGCTTCCTAGCCAAGGCCCAAGACCTTGTTTCTGAGACTGCTACCCACCAATTACTCGACTGACTCTGCTGTTTCAAGATTGTTGACTCTTATGAGTAAACTTTACAAATTAGTATCAGACACTGACTAGTGTTCTCAATCACAGTCTTCACTATGCTGCTGGGTAACACCTTCCAACAGTGAACATTCCTTTGCTCCTTCACTCACATCCTCGCAGGCTGGCAGCCATCTCATACCAACTTCCTACATCTGTTGGCTCAGGACTGGTTCACTGGTTCTCATGGTATAGCCTTGGGACAGACCCAACAGAAAACACCACTTCCATTGGTTCTGTTGTTGCATGACATCAATACTATTGCAGAGAGGTGTTTATTGTGCCATCGCCTAATGGCAGGTGACATTGTTGGTGATGCGGCATGGTGTGGCATGTTCAGTTGTTGCGTGTAAGTGCAGCTATGTTGGTCATGTAACATCCACTGAGCCACTGCCTAGCAGTTGATGTGTTTACAGAGCCATTCCCACACCACAATGGTCATCTTTGCTGGCTTCAAAGCTCTGGTCTCACATGACACGTGACAATTAAACAAACTATTTCTGTGATATGGTGCCATGTAGTCTGTTGTACCAACATTTCAGAGGAATATATTACCTCCATCATCAGGGTCAAATAGTAAGCCAAGCCAAGAGAGTAGTCTTACTCTTCTTGTCTGCTTGGCCTTCTTTTTGACTGTCATTGCAGAGAGAGCCTCAAATCTTGAGATAACAGCATCTGGGAATTCAGTGATAGCCAGGTGCTTAAAGAGGGGAGTAAAATCGAGTCCAAAATATGTCGATGTCAAACATGGGTATGGTGTGACTTCTGAAATCTAAGTATTGAAATTTTTTTGTAGGCATCACTACAGAAGTCCAAGGTGAAGGTATTCGAGCAAGCAAGCCAAGGCAGCAACATGATCCTGCGAATTTTGGACCAATCAAAAGCGAATATCAGGGATGTCGCCACAGAGCTCTTGGGACGCTCCATTTATGTTGGATGGCCCCACCTTGTGGAGGCAAAGTGAGTTCGTCATTATACTGTCTGACATTTGTTTCTCAGACCAGACTCTATATCATAATGATGTAAAGCTTGTTGAAATATGAATGTTTAACGATATACTTGGTCACAGTACTCATTCTGCTGTGATCCATTCTTATACATTAGAGCCCTTGAGAGAAACACTGAAATTTTGTAGTCACTGAATATACACATTGTGAACTTGAAATATTGTGGAAGCAGAGCTATCTTTATGTGAAAATACAAAATTTGATACAGTAACAATCTACATTAAGCTGTTCTGCTGTCTAGAGTTATACCGTGAACTTTCTTTCGCAAAGGTGGATACTGCGATATCAATTCCAACCTTCTACTACCATTCATTGGTATTATCTTCTGCCACTATATGTAACTACTGATGACAACAGAATAAGAAGTGTTGTTTTTTCTAGATGGTTTATGGCTGTTGTATTGAAATTGCTGAAACTGTGTATATTTACAGAGTGGTGGCTGTATCAAACAAGGAGTTCCGCTATGGACTGCAGGAGGATTCTGGCCTGAAACCTCCTCGTCTCAATGTTGAGGAGCTGAAAGGCCCATGTGCAGCTCAGTGGATGTTACAGCAGAAGGGCATCCAAGAGCAGTGAGTACTGGAAAGCCTGAAAGCAAGATTTATCTCTGGAATTATGCTCCATTTGTAGGGAGTTCTTCTCAAACATTCATCAACATTAAAATAAATAGAACTACATTTTGGAAACTATCCTTGTCTCCATCATTAGGGACTGCTGTGATGAGTAATACAAATTTGGTTGTGCACATGCACTGACCTAACATCCTGGTTCTTGTAGGATAAAAGGGCTTCATTTACTGTAACTTCCCACTCTTGAGCTAATTACATTTAGGACTGTCCCTGATATGCAGTTGTATCATAGGTAACTAACTTTCTTATATGGAATCTATTAGAGAAATCGGTGGTCAAGCTACTAAGGATGTTCCCTGTGATATGAAACTTTAAGATTTACCACTGTCACCACAAAAGTCCACCGCTGCATCCTGCTGTGATCCAGTTCAATCCAATTAACACCTTCAAGAAACCTATTCCTGTGAAGTGTATTTTAATATTATCATTTTATACATATATGTCTCCTAAATGATCATGTCCTAATTCTGAAGTTGTTTATGTAGCAGAAATTGGTAAAAAAGAAGAAAAAAAACTGTGGCTTGAGTCCACAAGCAAACTATACCGACTGAGTGACTGCTGCTTGTTGGCGAAGTCCGTTTGTTGCACTGGCCACGCGACACCCTCTGTCCGCTAAAGTTGGCAGAAATTGACAAAAGCATCTTAAAATAATTATAAAAAAAGATAATAGAATATCAATCCAAAGGGTAAACAAATTTGTGAAACCTCTTGTATGTAATATTATCATGCGATTGAGTGACTGTAGATGGGGTTTGGATTTGTAATTGGATATATTGAATGCTTAGAGATTGTAACTATAAGTAATTATAGCACTATTGTTAATTCACTACAGCACATATTAAGTCTTCTCAGTCTGTTCTGTCTTCAACAGTCATTGCCTGGTGATGGATCCCAACAGTGTCCTCTGCTTCCATACTCACATTCTTACTGGTTTGTGACTGTCACACAACTGTCGGCTCTCAACTCGACTCCACTCCCCTAACTACCTTCTCAAGACTGTCTCATAATTGCAGCTGCTCCTCATCTTATAGCCTTGGCACAGACTGTACAAAAAACACTGCCTCCAACAATTCCTCCATTGTTGCATGCGCATCTGTTGCTGCCATTTCCTAGCAATGACCATTGTTTACAGAGCCATTACCTAGTGATGGCTGTTGATTAGCTGTTTATTTTGCAGTTGTTGCCTAGCAACAGGTCTGTTGAAAACTTTGAATCTGGTGATGATTTGGATCTTTGAGGTTGGTTTTAAAATAAACACAAATCAGACTCTTTTCTGCCTAATTTTGCTTGTATGCACTGATGAATTGTTAAATATCCTGAATACCCACAGCCAGTTCCTGCTTCTGAACCTTATGGATCCTGTAATCCTCATAAGAATGATTGCAGAGTAGAGGTTACTGTGCCCTGTGTTTGACAGTTATGCCAACCGCATGGGAGTGGATATAGGCAAAACAGACATCTTGGTGCATGCAACAGCCATGATTGGTAGAAAGTACATCTTTGGCCAGACTGGAAAGATAACAATGGAGAAACAGGTAACTGACATGAGATTTAAAGCTTTCCTGGTGATGCCTGTGAAGATTAGTGTCTCCTGGGATGTGACACAGTGTAGTTTGAAAGGTAAATATAAACATTTCAGAAGAAACAGTTGCCTGCATTTTCAGGATAGAAGAAGGCAACAAGTTCCTCCAAATTGCTGGTACCTGTCTACCAAATTACACTGTGTCACAACACAGAAGATTGTTCCCTTTATCATACATGTTAATTTCATTATTTTTGTATTGTTTTCCCTTTGACGTTTTTCTTTTTTGACTAGAAGCATAAAAGAATTGGTTCTAGTGGATTGAATTAATTTTGTTGCCATTTTGTAGTGAAATCCTCATATGTTTCTTTTTGGAGCACTGAATTTGAAGACTAAACCAATTAATATTATAAATTGGCATAATTTGACACTTGACAAGCGATTGTTGAAATTGAATATTGAATGAAGGAAAACCTTAAACTGTGGAACACTGAATGGGGGTGTTACTGAAAGAGCATTGTATGGACACATGCTTCCTAACATTGTGTTTTTTTCTGCAGTAGATGAACATCAGTGCCATGGAGGTATGTAAGAAAGTGAAGAATGCAGTTGGAAAATATTGTGTGTGCATTCTGTAGGGGTATACCTTGCTACTCTTATGTTGTTTTTAAGATTATGAATGATGTATTTTGGCTGATACATTTTATACATGCCAGGAAACAATTTAATTGTTATTTATGTCTTGATATTTTAAGTTCCCAGTGAGTATCTTCTTATTATTGTGGATTTTGTGTGACCACTATCTAGATGTTGGAAGAAAGTAGCATCTTTACAGAAATTATTTACAGAAATTCAAATTTATCTACTCAGAACCAGTGCTGTGCTGATTATATTTATCTGCCATCTTGCATCCATTTGGATTATATCCACAGATGGTCTGTATAGCTCTTTTATATGTTATGCCCACAAACTTTCTGGTTGCTGTTGATCATTAGCCCTTTTTATCCAGAAATAGAAAATTTAAGATCACCTAGATTTGTGGCTGAATTTTAACTCAGGGCTGACAGGTTATGATCAGGTACTTCGGATATTAATTCTTCCAGCACTATAGGACTGGCAGCCATGTTTACACTTGTAATGATATTATGGTTCAGCTTTGTAATGGATGTAAGGGTGGGGGTGTGTGGAGCATGGTGCTTTGCTATGGAAAGGGAACCTGTGTTTAAGAAGGTTTGGAGGAAAGAGATCTCTTTTCCTTCACACTTTATTCTTAAGTGCAGATTTCCATTCAGTTGTTTAGCACTATGCCCCACACTCCACCTTAACTTCCAGTATGGAACCTACATTTCATTTCATTTCATTTACATGCCACAAATCCATTACAAGGTCTTAGGACCCAGGATACATACATACATACATACATCTGTGTTTCAGGATATTCATAAGTGCAATCTGCACTGAATATGAAACATGTTACAAGCTTTACAAACAGCAATACATCCTTACAATTCCAACATGCCATATCACAATAACAAACAAACATAAATGCAGACAACTTGCATCTAAATACGTACATAGAATATAGATTATATTTACACTTAATGTCTATATTAATGCTTACTGTGGGACATCCATCAGTCAGCATGCACTCCCCTTCTATTCCTTAGCTGTTGATCCCGACAGAAGAGCAAAAATTCATCAACAGTATATGACGCATTATGTATTAGGACATCTCTTATTTCTTTTATAAACTCTTTTTTATCATGTACTAAATCAGTTAAATAATCAGATAGACAGTTAAATATTTTTATACTCATGCAATGGACCCCTTTCTGGCTCATTGCGAGACGTGATTGTAGGACATGTAAATTTCTTTCGTGTCATGTCGATCTCTCATAAATTGAGTAATTAAAAGTAAAATACTCCAAGTTATTTATCATAAAAGTCATCAGAGATAAAATATATTGAGAGACCAGTGTTAATATATTTAACATTATAAATCCTGGCCTACATGACTCTCTATCTTTCATCCCCATTATTATTCTAATAGTCTTCTTTTGTAAGAGAAAGATCTTCTTGGCCTCTGACGAATTACTGCAAAAAACTATTCCATATCTCATGAGTGAATGAAAGTATGCATGATATATCATTTTAAGTGTTGTAACATTACTATATGTTTTCATAATTTGTATTGCTTAACATGCCTTTTCCAATCTGGGTAACAGTGATTCAACCTGTGTCTTCCAATTCAAGAACTTAACAACATGGTAATATAGCAATATAAATATAAAAATCTAATATTACACTTTTTTTATTGCTAGTGGAGTGGAACTAAGTCCCTTGTACTGCGGCCACTTCTGGCCTATTGTACCAGCCCCAGATGATAGGTGAGGGTGATTGTGGAGCAATTTGTTGAGTGAAGACTGGCAGGGGAAACGGAAGTACTCGGAGAAAATCTGCCCCAGCGCCACTTTGTCCACCACAAATTCCACTTGACCAGACCCAGGATCGAACCCGGGCTGCTGTGGTGGGAAGCCAGCGACTAACCGCTTGAGCTATGGTGCGGCCCAAAAATATACACAGTTTTGAGCTTCCTTACAATTATGACAAACCTTGTCTGCTTACAGTGGTGTGATGTACTGACAGCTTATGCCCTACAGACAACAGTGAAAGACATTGCTGTCCATGACAAAACATTTGTCCAGTACCGTACTCTGCAGGAAGTGTTCCCCCTCAAGTCGGTGTGCTTCATGCTGGGACATCCTCATTATGGAGCCATGGGAGAGGCAAGTTCCTGTTTGTGAGATTTGAGGCTCTCAACGATATTGACAATGAAGGGTACAATCTTCTGGGATGTGATATCATTTATTGTGGTAGAAGTTTACCATAATATTGGATGGAAATCAGTTAACTTTTGACAGATTACAAAGCATCACATCCCAGAAGATAATACTCATAAAGTTCCTATTTGTATAGAGGTTTTGTCTAAATAGGACATTGTCTCTCTCAATATGTGTGCATGTTTAGTCTCTTAGACTATCAAAATTGGTTTCGAAGAAAATTATTACTTACTTATTCCTTGGCTTTGTGGTCTCTACGAATTATGACCTTCTTTATGTTACATGCCCATTTGTCTCTGTTATTTGTTTTTTGAACCCACGTCTTCATCATGAGCTGTTGTGAATCATTGTCTACATCTTCCAGCCATCTCAGTCTGACCCCACTTCCTTGTATCTCCAGGCTCCTGGAAATTTTGTGTGATTTTATTTTTGGTTCATATAAGGCAAACATAGCTATTCGTTTACATGAAACTCAAGTGAGACATCAGTTTTCTTCTATACTGACTCCTCGTAAAAAAAAGTTAAATTTGAAATATTTTCAGTATGGTGAATATTTAATGCAATGCAAGGTGAAGTAGCTTCTATCTATACAATATTATCTTTGCATTTCAACACGATGTTTGTCTACTCTATCTTCTTCCTTAACTGTCTTGTTCTGCTTATTTATTCATTTATTCTGCAAGGTACTTACCTTTAAATTCTCTGTAGATATATATATGTATGTATGACAAATAAACATCAAAACAAATATAAACAATGTCAGTTGGAAAATATGTTCTTATAGGGGTTTTGCAATGCTCATTATCTAGTTATAACGTTATAAGATCAGTACAGAATGTAGGTTTCAAGAAACCCTTCTTCCAAATTAACCCTGTGGGGGTTTTGTCGTTACTCCAATGACAACCCACTTCTTCGGAAAGTTTGTAGGTCCTGAAAAGGACCGTTGACTGCTGGGATGTTTGGCCGGTGAAGTAGCGCTACGTACGCCAGTAGAAAGAGATGTTGGTTGTGGTGTGTTGACTAATGTTGCGGCAGCTGAGTGAGTTGACTGGCCGCAGCACGGCAGTTGCCAGGAGTTGCCTGGTTGTTTTAAGACGTCTGCTTGCGGAGCACGGTCGCAGGAGTGGAGAGGCGGTAGCTACGCCAGTTGCCCAGTGAGTGGGGCATGACCGCCGGCGAATTGAGGTGGCCAATTTGCCCGGTGAGTCAGGTGTGACCGCCGGACACCCGAGGTAGCCGTGCCTGACACAGCGAAGTGCCGATGCCTCCTAATACCGAGCGCTGACAAAGTGTGCTGGCTGGCTGACTGATGTTGACTGAATGCATCTCAGTGCGTTTCAGTGGTGCTGGGTTGGAGCTGCTCCTTTTTATACAAAGCGTGGTGGAGGAGTTAAAATTTGCTGGGCGCTGATTGGCTAGCGCATGTACTGACTAGCCAGTGAGTACTGTATAAATACAAATGTTGGATGCAATTTGATTGGTTAGCGTGCGTGATGGTGAAAAGTGAGCTGAATAGTGAGCGTTGTAGAAATNAAAAATTTGCTGGGCGCTGATTGGCTAGCGCATGTACTGACTAGCCGGTGAGTACTGTATAAATACGAACGTTGGATGCAATTTGATTGGTTAGCGCGCGTGATGGTGAAAAGTGAGCTGAATAGTGAGCGTTGTAGAAATGCGTGGATAATATGTGGGATGTTCCCACAACCTTTTTCAAGAAAATTGTAACAGATGGATGGCAAATCCACCTGCCAGCAAAAACAGTAGCATCTCCAACCAGTGCATGCAGTGCTCTACCACCACACTGTGTTACCATAACATCATGCACCATCATGACAATTTAATTGTATAGAGACATTAATGAAAATTATGACTACAGATGAACAGTTTTTTGGGGGTTTTGTGAGGGGTGAGGTAAGTTTTAGAGCTGCAGGGAATTGGTATACCTCAATCAGTAGAGTGATGGGCTGTGGGCAGGATGACCAGGGTTCCATTCCTGGCAGGGGTAAGATTTTTCTCTTCTCTGTACCATCCAAACTGGATCTGGGGCCCACCCAGCCTCCTGTCCAGTGGGTATAGGTGCCTCTTTCCCTGGGGTAAAGCGGCCAGAGCGTGAAGCTGACCACTCACCTCCATCTAGTGATGGGGTCAAGAATGGTGGGGCAATACCTCCACTTCCCCATATGTTTCCATGTCATAGTGCTTAATTAGTTAAGCACAAGGACAACTTTGCCCCTTTTTTACCTTTACCTTCAGTGCTTCAGTCACATGTGAGGAAATAAGAATGGTACTGCAATTTCTTGTTAGGAAAACTTTGTGTGAAGAAACTGTTTGGATCTTAGGGAAGAGGTTGTGGAGATGTGAACGTGATTGAGGTGTGTGAGGTTTGAACCAATTCATTCATTCTCATCCTGAGTCCTTGTCCTCCATTCTGTATATCATGGACCATTTTACTTTGCAACTTAACTCATCTACCTTAAAGACGAAGGCAGCAAGTTCCTCCAAAACATGGGTGCCTATTAACCAAACAAAATGGTGTCACATTCCACAAGACAGGAATCTCGATTAAAAGGTAAGGTAAATGTATCCCTGTAACAAGCCATGGAGACCCATAGGATTGTGAGAGATCGAGGCTCCCACATTTTCTAGACCGTCGCTTCACAGATGGCAGTGAGGTTGTCAGCCTTACGCACTGGCCACCCTTTACCCCCATGAAGATTCCTGGTACTCATTTCTGTTAGAGGATGAGTCAACCCCAGAGCCATAGTGTGGCTGGAAGGATTAGGCCAATTGAAAAATCCACCTCATCGGGATTTGATCCTGTGACCTTCTGGCTTGTAGCATAGTGCCTCAACCAACTATGCTACTGTGTGCCACTAGAATCTGGATTAACCTAACTTATGCGATTAAATATGATTTGGGCTCCATGAAGTTTTCAAGTGCAAATAGCTTGACTGCTTAGGGAACAAGTATACTGGGTAATCAATCTTATTGAACATATTAAAAGTTAAAATATATGAAATTGTAATTTCACTTGTATCATATACTCGTAGTTCTCAATCTCATTCTTTTATTCTGATGAAGTTGCAAGTGTTCAGAAATAAAGCATGAAAGAGAAACTTTGGTTGAGGCCTGCCTTCATTGCCTGTAGAATTGCCATGTTTTCATTGTTGGTGTCTTTATTGTGGTTGTAGGTGGTCGATGGCAGTACATCAGTAAAGAGTGGACGAGTAAAAGTGAGTATGTCAGTAACTACAGAGCCAAACCTGGACAGTGTACGCAGAAAGTATCATGATAGTAACATCCATTACATGCCTGGTAAGTCAGTGTAAAGAGTTTATAGCATAATTTTGCTTAATTTTTTGATGTTTCCACCAGGCTGGGATGTTGCATGACAAAGTCTTCCTTGTTTTTTTTTTCCCCTCCCATAATTCTCTCACTTAGTTCTTAATGTACCCAGTGGTATTCTATTTCAACTACATATCATTGAATTTGTAACAAATCATTGAGGAGAATACTACAGAAAAGCTTCAGAACATCCGAGACAAGTGTATACATTAGCACTGTGGCAGGCAATTTCAGGTCAGCTTCATGCAGACCATTTGCACATGGAGGGTATTGTTCACTTTTTGTTAGACTTGCAGGCATGTTAGGTTTTAGAGGAAACTGCGGTGCATGGGATATTTTAAAGTGAGGAACTCCATCACTATCAGTTAAAGGTAACGTCAGAACTTTTGATAGTAAGTGAGAGAAGTAGTAATGGAAACACTGCAAATGTTTCCGGCAGTGCGGTGAACAAATAGTATCATAGTCCAAGGTGATGGATTTCTTCTGTCGTCATTCTAAATATAAGACTGGTATGACTGTGAGCCATACTTGTGAGCTTGTTATCGCATTATGATTTTGTTTGCAGGAAATATGGCAGCCCAACGTCTGGGAGTGTCATCACATTTAGTGTCCCGGGTCACGGGTACCATCTACATTGTTTCAGGAGACAAGAATGCTGTTACGGAATCAGGTAACAAGGTCAATGTGGGGCTGAACCTCAAGTTCAACAAACATAATGAAGAGGTGAGTTGTTAATGGGATCACAGACTGATTATGTAGTAGTTATAATAGTATCCTTATTTAACCTTTTCATTGCACACTACCAAAGTAGTGTTGCTCTATAACTTTTATTATCAACTGATATTAGCATCCTTATCTGCTCTGGCACCAGCAGATGAAGTATCAAGCAGAGTCACCTGCAGTAGAACCGATAGTTGACTAGATGGTGCATTAGGTATGAAAAATAATTAACAATTCAGCCACACAAAATTCACTTATATAGAATCTTTCCTCTGAGCACAAACTTCTTTGTTTTTGCTATGGTGGGAGTGTGGTTTTTTGACAAACTGACTGGTGGGCACATTGTGTGTGAAATTTTGAGAATGATTGCTATACAAATCATCCTACAAAACTGTGAAACTATACAATAATCAAGCACTAGGTCCTGGCATGACACATAAAAAATATGTATAATAGTTAATGGTGTGTTACTTGAGTTTAAAGTTTCGTCTGATTTGATGCTTGCTTTGTTTCTTGTCTCTCAGATACCAGGGTATACACGAAAGGAGGGAACGGTGTGGCAGTACTCATACAAAGCAGTTAATCTTGTGCAGAACTACATGCTGCAATTTCCTGAGCTCTTTGACTACTTGGCCAAACATACTGGGAATGATATATTTTATGAGTCAGATGTTTTCCCAACTGCAAATAAAAAAGGGTTAGTAATATATTTATGCAATTTTTGTGTGTTTTTTGCACTAAATACAGACAGTTAGCACATAATATTGACTGTGTACATCCTTTCACCTGCATGTTCCATCCGTGAAACTACTGATTAAATGAAATTTGATACTGGGGGTGTCTTCAAGAAAAGTTGAAGAGTTCTGTCTTATGGGATACAACACCTTGTTCTCCATTGAAAGTGAACTGACATTTCAGAGAACATATCTCCATTTTAAGGGTCAAAGAATAAGTCAAGCAAGAAACCAGCATGAAGCAGGCAGCAAGCAGAACTCCTCTCTTCCTAATTATATCTGTCCTCCTCAGCAGATCATTGTCCTCTTCCTCTGAGTGTTATGTCAAATTTACCCAGTGCTGTGGGATCTAGTTGGAGCACGTCATTTCCAGTTCATCTTGTTTTGGTGTGAATCTGCCTGGCTCCTGCTTGCTACAAATGTGGAGAGTGACAATGGGTATTCTTTGTTGTTTGTTTAGAGTGAACCACTTAACAGCCATCACTGAATGGCTGAAGAAACAGCCATACACTAAGGTGGAACGACATGTTTGTGGTTCAAAAATTCTGGAGGCGGAGTTAGTGCAAGCAGTTGAAAAGGAAGTAGACGACTTCCTGCAGCATGGATGTCGTGGCAAGACTGTCATCATGCAAGTGAAGCCACACCTCCTGTACAGGGTATGCATATACATTCACAAATGCCCAGTTATCACTTCTCTTACAAGTAAACAACTCTTAACTCATTTTGAAAGGTTTTTTAATTTAAATTTTCTTCCCCTTGGTCACAATAGCTGGAAGCATGCGGTAGCGTAGTTGGTTGAGGCACTATGCTGGAAGGTCATGGAATCAAATCCTGATGAGGTCGTTGGATTCTTTCAGTTTCCAGCCTCACTATGGCCCTGGGGTTGACAGAAATGAGTACCAGGAATATTCGTGGAATGTTCTTGGGCGTAAAGGGCGGCCGGCGCATAAGGCTGGCACCCCTACTGCCATCTATGAGCCTCTTGTCTAGAAAATGTGGGAGCTTCAACATCTCACAACCCTATGGGCCTCCATGGCCTGTTACAGGAATACCTTTACTACCCCCCCCCCCCAACANCCCCACAATAGCCTACCATTGGCTCCTGTTTTGAATCAGCTGAATTCATTCCACCGCTTCATACATCATTATGTAGTTAACACAGTGTGCCTCTGTTTGTTATTATGTTGTTCATTTAGGAACAATGACTGGAACTAATTTAGCTTACCAGTAGTAGTAAATACCATGGAATGTACACTTGAATCATTACTAATGTTGAGTTTACTGAAGAAATATTATTTCTACATGGCAGCATTCTTTAGTCTATTAAATTGTCTTTTGGATCTTTTCAAGTTTTCCTGGAATACACATGCAATGAAATTGTGATTTCAGAGTGTCCCTTGAGGGCTATAATGTGTAAGAGTGAAGCTATAGAAGATTGTGGAAACCATAGCTAGAAAATTGAATTGTCAAATTCTCATGATGAAATGTGAATTAGCTTTTCACTATTTTGTATGTAATATGGGTGATTAAAACCACTTCTTGTATCTAGCAAACCATCTTTTTTTGGTCTTAAAATTTTTAAATTCGCTTAGTGGGGAGTGGAGTCCAATTGGGTCCACTCGGCACGGTGGCCACTGATTGGCCTATTGTAGCCTTCCCTGGGTGATTATGATGATGGTGAATTTAGTAGAATGAATATTGGCAGGGGAAACCGAAGTACTCGGAGAAAACCCGCCTCAGCGCCACTTTTTCCACCACAAATCCCACTTGACCAGACCCGGGATTGAACCCGGGCCGCCGCGGTGGGAAGCCAGTGACTAACCGCTTGAGCTATGGCGCGGCTGTTGGTCATCCTATAACTTTCTTTACTTTTTTAATTTAATTGTAATGCCAGCCACAGTATCCTTGTTGTTTCATCTTGTTTCATGATCAGACCATATTCTCTACTGACTTGAGATATGATGTGTAATTCTGTGATAGTAATCCTTCACTTTTTCACTTTGCCAGCCTGAGCTTCAAGGGGGAAATATTCCCCCAGATCCATCAGCAAACCACCAACTGTTTGATCGCATTGTGAACGTTCGGGGGTCTTATACAGTACCACTGGGACTCAAAGGCACTATAATAGGTAAGAATGACATGAAGTAGATGTGTCCTTCAAGAGATGTGCTTTGTTTCTTAATGTCAAATCCTGGGTGTGACGTGACATCTTAAGTTCTTCTATTTTCCATGGTCTCCCTAGCTAGGGTTAGGATAAAAGAACCACATCTGTGTTTGTTTCATTGCTTGTTCAGATTACAGTTTTCTGAGATGTGATGCTGCACAGTTCTGTGTAAAGGTAGCAGTGTTCAGAAGGACATTTGTACCAGCCTGTGTTGTTTGCCTTCGCTGATCACAATCTTAATGTTATGATGAAAAAATGGAGGGAGCAGGTTCATGCAAAATGTTGGTAAGAATGTATCGGACTTGAGGGCATCACATGATATTGCTTATTCATTTGTGTTGTGTAGAAGTTGAAAGGTAAAAAGAATTCCGATCTTCATCTGTTGGCATACACTAATGGAACAGTCTGATGCAAAATTAGATTTGCTTATTGAGTTACAGTATACAATCAGTGTTAATAACCACTCAGATGCTCATCAAACGAGGACAGTTGGACCTGCCAACAGTAATTAATACTGTATAGGTTTTTGAAGCTCTTAAAAGTTCTGCAGCTGATAATAGTTCATAAAACATTTCTTCTGGTTAGAAGATGGAGGCAGGAGGTTCCTCCGAAGCATTGTACCTATGGTATCATATGTGGTCTGACAAAAAGCTCGTGAACTAATTGCGTTAAAAGTTCTATATACCTCATTGCTGAATATCACTGTGGTCACCTTTAAAGTACTCCCCTTGGAAATCTATGCACCAGTACCAGCATCTAGTCCACTTTTCAAAACAATTTTGGAACTGGTTTTATGGAATGCCCTTTGTTTACTAGCTAAAAACTCCCTCACAGACAGCGCCATGAGAGCAGATGCATTGTCATGATGCAAGATCCATGAGTTATTGTCAGAAAGTTTGGGTCGTTTCTGTCTAACTTTTTCATGCAGCCTTTTTCAGTACTTTCAAATAGTAAACTTGGTTGACTGTTTGTCCAGTTTGTACAAACTCATGGTGAACAATCACTCTAATATCAAAATATGTTAGCAACATTTTTGGACTCTTGATTTGGACTGACAGAACTTTTTTGGTCATGGAGAATTGGCAGTCTTCCATTATGCACTTTGCCGCTTCATTTCAGGGTCCATATAGATCCAAGTTTCATCACCTGCGATGACATGGCCCAAAATGTCATCTTGCCTCTCCAAAAGGTCTTGGCAAATTTTGACTCTTCTTTGCTTTTGATCTTCGGTGAGCTCCTTTGGGACCATTTTGCATACACCGTCCTCATGTCAAGATCTTTAATTAAAAATTTTTCTGTTTCTCTGTCGATGTTTGCTTGCTCTGCTGTGCTCCTGACAGTCAACCGACGATTTTCATGCACAATTTGATAAACTTTTGCAATCTTTTCTTCAGTTCTGCTTGTTGCTGGCTGTCCTGATCTCTCTTTGTCAGTGACACTTCTTTCCTCAGAAAAACATGTCACCCACTGGTGAAATGCTGTTTTCTTCATAGTATTATCCCTGTAAACTTGCACAAACACCTGTTCCACTCTTGCCAAGTTTCACAAAAAATTTAATGTTCATTTGCTGCTCTTATTCAAGTTCTGACATTCACATGATGGCATACAGAACCACACTCAGACAATAATAGATGCCAATCAGAAGGCAAGTGCCATAGATCAACAACAACACAGCTGTGAAATGCTGATATTCCAAGGTCATCAAACCATACTGAGGTTTCTGGTCAGTGCTGCCACAGTAAGCACATGGTGGTGAGTTCACGAACTTTATTGTCAGACCTTGTATGCTAGAAAACTGTAATCTTACTATCCACCACTGTGAGAAACTCAAATCTCATGTATATAATATTATTTTAGAATGGCTGTCTGTGACAAAGCAAAACTAATGGTTCTGCTTATAGTTTTCTTAATATAAATCTTATTTCCCATAATCCTGACAAAGTCTTGTATAAGAACAATTTAGTTACTTTCCATATGTGTTATTTCCCTTTCGTGTTAGTTTTTGCATTGTCTTTCCTTTCTCTTGGTCACAACTGGGATCACTAATATTGGTCTCATTCTGTCTAGGTATCCATCGCACTGAGATTGAGACAGAACTGATGTATGATGTGGTATTTGATAAGCCCTTCCCAGGTGGCCTTCCTCTCAATTGCTCAGCCAATCGTGGGTATCGGCTGTCCCGACCTGCCATATTGAATCTTTCTTATGGTCAGCGTGTAGAACAGGTGAAGACTGTGAACAAGCCCACAACTGTTGTTCAGCAAGCTGGTAAGTTCTTGCACAGTGTAGTGTAACCTAGCATAACAGAGCATTGGTAACTGTTCCTCTTGAATCATTGGTGAACCACACCACTCAGGCTTGAAGACTGTAAAACTTTTCTTATTATGTGTAATGTTCCCAGTACAGCTGTTTTTTTTTTAGAGAATCTATTGAATGCTTTTCTGGTACTTCAGATTTTTTTAGACCTTTAATTACAGTTCCTGTGGCCACAGTAACTGTTGGCATGACAAAGCATTACATATTCCACATTTGCTCAATTTCTGTGATGAAGTTTATATATCTTAATTTCCTTTCAACCACATTTTGTGTTACATTCATGTCTGCAGGTATTTCTTCATCTATCAATAGGCAGATCTTATCTTTGTCTTCGTTGCTGCTGTTGTTGCTGTTGTTTTATGATTGCCACCACGGCCACCATCTTTAGTTTTTGTCTTCTCCATCTTCTATTTATTTTTCTTCTTCCCCTCTTCTTTCCTTCACTTTCTTCTCCCATTCTTCTTCATCCTCACATTTCAATGTTCAGATTCATTGTAATGCGGAGGAACTTTACATGGTCAAAGTTTTATGCCTTTCTGTTTGTATGTTATGCAGGCAACCCTGTGGTACAGGAGAACTTCATGTACAGCCCCTGGAACCAGCCACCCCCCATAGGGGGCAACATCCCACCCCAAGGCTATTCTGCATTTGCAAGCTGGAACAACAGTCAGTCGACTCAAAACGGAAGACCTTACGTAGCGGCATCCTATGGCAGCAATATTAGTGCTGCTCCATTCTGCAGAGCCCTTAGCAGTACATATACGTCACAGCTTAGAGCCGATGGCCCTGTTCCACCTCGACCAGCCTTCTCAGTAAGTTGATATATTCATTAGTGGGTCAGTAATGATGTTAATATAAAATTCTTTATTGGGATCTGTCATAACACAACAATGAAATGGTCTAGGTCAGCATCACCTTAGCTACATATTTCGGCTTTTAAAGCCATCATCAGGCAAATACATTGATACTGCACTCACACACTGCTGAACTGCATTCCAGTATGATGGGACAGTGGAGTTACATACTTGACACATATGTTACACTGTAATAATACAAGGTATAAAAATACAATAAAATTATAAAATTATTATGAAACGAAAGTTATACAATAAAATATGGTTAAATACTATCATGTAATGTTTCATACTATGAAGTCAGTTGTTGCAATCTTGTTATATTCCAGCAGACATATAGCGGTATATTCATGACTTGTACACATATAGTTAACTGCTTGGTGCCCCATGGTATTGGTGTAGTATTATTTGGTATTAATTGTTTGGCCGGTGCTTCATTTTATGGTGTATTTTGTCCGCTCCGGTGGGAATACAGATTGCAACTACTAGACAACACTGCATCATAATCAAAAACACCAAAATCTAGATCTTCATCACTGTGAACATTTCTCTTTCATGCCAATTATTTTCTGCCTCTGAAATGTTATGTAGAATGTATTGTGAGTACAGAGGAGGTTTCATTTGACACTGAAATATTTTATCAACTTCACTGATTGCATCATCCATGAACTTAAGGAGCATTATATCTTCCATTACTCTCCTGTTTATACTTACTAATGGTGTGCTGCTTGGTCTTGCTTCAGGGTGACAGTAGACCACAACAGAATGTTACATCTTCCAGGAAAATGAGGCAACAAAACTATAGCAATCCAGGGGCCAGAATCTCTGGTTCAGCTCCCAGCAATGTCACATCCCCACTCACAGAGTTCCAAGCCATTTGGTCACACTTGCAGGTGAGCATTTTCATTTAAAACGAATGAGTGCAGTTGTCCTCAGAGTGTGATTCATGGCCTGCTGCTGCCTCGTATCGGTCTGCAGTTTGAACTGAAAATGTTGTCTTGCAAGGCTTCACATTACCAAAAATGGAAAAGACCGCAAGTGTTAAGATCCGTTTATGCTGTTAGTTGTAACTTCAAGTGTATGTGTTAGTAATGTCGCTATGTTTGAGATAAATAAAAGGTAAAGTCCTTATACTTAACTAATTAAGGTGCTACACCATGAATATATATGGGGGAATGGATGTATAGAACCATGTATTCTTGACCTCTGCACTCTTTGGAGGTGAATGGTCAATTTCATGCCCCGGCCACTTTACCCCTGGGGATAGAGCCTGTAGTACCCATTGGATGGGAGGCTGGGTGGGCCCCACAACCAGTCTTGTCAAGATGGAGAAGAGAGAACTCGTACCCTTACTGGGGCTCAAGCTCTGATCTCTCACCCATCGAGCCCATAGCCAATTGCTATACTGATTGCACTTTGTCTGCTATTTGTATTTCAGGAACAAAGTAAATTGGGAAAACAAAAGGGTTTTATGTGATATATTAGTGTAATGCTTATTGAATCTGCTTCCTACATTACCCTGAAGATGGGTGCAGTAGGTTCCTAAAAATGTTGGTACATTTCTACCTGACTACAGTGTGTCATGTTCCAGAAATCAATAATATTTTAGGAATGTGTATATTTACAGTAGCAGAAAATTCTTTATTATTTGTTCTGTGGAAGGTTATTACATTATGTCAGAAATTACCATCTGACTTTCTGAATTTGCTGAGAGAAAGAAACCTGATATTTTTTCAAGAATCTGGCAGTTTTAACCCTTTCCTTACAGAGCTTCTAGAAGGGAGAAATGCCTTCTTTGTTTCTTTGCACACTGAAAGAATTATAAATTTTTAGTTTCTATTTATTTATGGTTTATTTAAAGATGCTGGGCATGTCTTAGACTATGTAGTGTCAAATGGTAGGATAATAAGTTAATAATGAATTGGAAAGGATGTGGAAAGAAGGGGTCATAACATAATTTTTAGTGCTGTTCCTAGCGTTCTCCTGAAGGGACTGAAACCATGAGAAACTCCATCAGGGTGACCTGTCTCAGGGCTGAGATTTGAATCCAGGACCTCCAAAATATGAAGCACAGTGCTGCTCTCTTGACTGTAACATTTAGAACCAAGATAGGAACAGGATGACTGTAAGATGGCATGTAAGAATGTAGGCTTCACTGGTATTGCCAGCAGTAATGTCTGGTAAAAAGTAACATTTCTCTTTATATTTTTCAGAAAGCTTCCACATCACCACAGAAGCCTAGCCAACCGTCACCACATAAAAAGGCAGTATCAAACCCTGAGGTGAGTTTCAAGGAAGATGTGCTCATGCACACATACAATCAGCAGTGGAAACATACATATATGGCATGTCACAGATGGGTGTGTTCGTGATGTTACATTCATCTGTGTACATTATATATGCACGTAAAACATACGTGTCTTGAAAGTCTACTCATCTTGTCAACAATTTTTCAGTGGATGTTAACAGAATTTTATTTCTATCAAGGAAATATTTATGAAACTGAAATATATAATGGTGGAATTTTCAAGTTCATCTGTTGGCAACACTGATTGATGAACCAGGAAATGAAATTTACTTGATCACCTTCAAAAAGAAAAACTCCGTGGTTTTAGCCCGCAAGTGAACTATACCAACCAAGCAACCGCCGCTTGTCGGCGAACTTAGTGCAACTTGTTTACCTACAGTGTCTTTTATTTCATACTAACAGGCCAATGAGCATTCCATACTCAATAGCTGCTACATGGTTGTTTGCATATATTCCTGAAAAAAAGCATGTCATGACATTGTGTTGGCTTTGAATAAATTACCTTCTTACCTACCATTGAATTCTGATAACTTACAGATCTCTAGTCTTTTCTAGACTGGCTAAAAATGTTACATGTTACAAATTAAAGTTCTTATATAGAGTGGAGTNCATGTCATGACATTGTGTTGGTTTTGAATAAATTACCTTCTTACCTACCATTGGATTCTGATAAGAACTTACAGGCAAAAAATGTTACATGTTACAAATTAAAGTTCTTATATAGAGTGGAGTTAAGTTTGAAAATATGTGTTATTCTACCCTGAAGATGGAGGCATTATGGTCCTCATAAACATTGGTACCCACCTACCAAATTACATGGTGTCAACCCAGAAAACCACACCATTGTGAAAACCTGAAATCTATATGTTTTCACATATCTACAATTAAGGGATAGTAGGGACACACTTGTACACACAGACATGAGCATGCCTCATCTCAACTAAAGAAAGCATACAAAAAATCATTAGCTATTGCCATTTCTGTGAAGTTTTGTCTGTACTCTAGCAGCACTGGGTGAAATTATTTTTTGGATTGTAGATTGGGGAGGACTCTGGTACCGAGCTTCTAAAGAAAATGTTACGAATCTCTGATGACCCACCTTCACCAGTCTCTCCCAGAAGTACCTCGCAGCAAGTGCTGCCACCACATCAACATAATACGAAACAAGTTTCCGTCGAAGAAATGTTTGAGGTGAGGCATTTAGGCTTTCACCATCGGCTTGAATACTTGCTCATTCACTGCATGATGCCATTTCATATACCCTCATTTTCATTTAAATATTATTCAGAATGGTTACCTTACATAATTTGTAAGCTTTACAACAACTAGAAAAATTACTGTTACAGTTTGCCGTGTCTTTTATTTTTTTGTGTTCATTTAGAAACTAGAATAAAAATATATTACATCAAAGGGACTGGTATTAAACGTCTCTTGCACAGTGACCATCTTCTGTCTTATTGTGCATCCCCTTCCCTTTATGAGCCCTGCAACTTGAATGAAGCACGGTACATGACTTAATGGGGCCTCATGATAGTCACTTGGTGTCATGAAGTTAGTTTTAATTCTGCATTCTCATAGGACATGAAAGGCTGGCTCATCTTTATCATCACATCCTTTGCAGGTGCGACTGTTTATCATTCTGAACTTGAAAAGATGTCCCTTCAAGTGACAGTGTCATACTAATATCACTTATCACTTGTCTCAGCTTGTTCCTATTCAGTTTCAGCAGGTGTAGTTTTGCCAAGGACTCATAAGGGAAACTCTTCACATGTTTCAGTTTGTGTATGAGCTGCCACTCCTCACAGTCTTTTCAGTCTATTCAGTCTGTCATGGTCTGTTTATTCACTCTTTCTGAGATGCCATAGGATGGTGGTTCAGGTCTTCTGATTTGATCAACATGTTCATTCCTGTCAGTTCCCCCATGTCCTAGCACCAGTATCTTTAGTTCTGTTGAACACTGCTGCCTTTTATCTGCGGCATTTAGTGGTAAATGTTATGTAATCAGCCGAGTGTTGAGGAGAAGAGAACTAAATTTTGGAATTGGTCACTGTACATTCAAAAATGTGGGAAGACAGAAACATGTTTTAAAGTCCGGATCTGTGGAAGGTGGATATGTCTGGCAACTTTAAATATTTCATATCCCTTTGCACATAATTTTTAAGTTTAAATCGTGATCGTTACATCTCTTCTAATTTAATAATACATGAAAGCATTAATTTATTTATTACTAGCATTCCGATATAGAAAGATCTTCACTGCAATTTTAGAGATTGTTTTTCTTTTTGATGGTGGTTAACTTACTGTATCCATCAATTTTGATTGGGAATAATCATTTCTGTCTTCCTTTCCTATATTTCTTTCATGTTTTTCTCCATCCCTTCTTCCTCTGTTATTTCTTTTTCATGTCTTGTCTGATCATCATTTCCTTTGTCCGTCTGCTTCAAGCTGAAACAGCTCCCTTACCTCCATTCTTTTGTACCTTTATCCATCTTGTACCTTCACTTTCTTCTTACTCCTTTTATACCATATTNTTAAATAAACTATGCAACAGATATCAAATTTTATTACACTGAAATAGAGATAAACTCACCAAGTTTTTTTTTTTTACATAGTTTACAGATGCTCAATGTGTCTACCTTTGCTCATACAGCAGACATCTATGCGATAATCCATTTCATCCCACACCTGTGTCAGCATATCACGGTTGACCAGAGCCACAGCAGCGGTGATACGGTTGTGAAGATCCCTGAGATTGGAAGGCAATGGCTTAAAAAAAAACTATGAGAGATTCATTCTCTATCAGCATAGAATTACCATGATCCAGTGCATAGTTTATTTGTTGTGAATTTTTAAAATGTTTCACAGACCTATGAATAACTTTGTGGTTTATACAGACCATCTAAAGTTAGGTTAGTGAAATAAAGGAGACTGTGATGGGCTGTGCATGCAGCTAGGATGGGAGACAAGTAATACATACAGACTTTTGGTGAGGAAATGTTTAGAAAGTGGTCACTCAAAAGACTGGGAAATGGATGGGAGGATAGCTTTAGTAGGTGGCTCTTGAGGAAACAGGACTGGCCTAAGCTTGTGTCTAGTGGCAGGCTTTGATATTAATTAATGGTGTTCTGCCTTGTGGTTCTAATATCATAAAATTTTGTTTTGGTTTAGTTAATACAGTGTGAGAGAAATGGGGTACTGGTTCATAAAGAACCTATTATTGTGTTATTGGTTGTGATTCAGGGTAATTTTGGGATCACAGATTAGTCGATTAAAGGTACCCCCACAGCTTGTGTGATTTCATTTAAAAATATGTAACTCAGTTAACTTTAATGCCATTCATTTCAGCCATTTACAAATCCTAATTGTTCTTGTTTTACACAGATATTTAACTATTTTTTTGGTCTTCATCAATTAAATTTATGAAAATGAATATGAAATTGCTTTAATGTGAAACTTGCTTATGTTGTAGTATACATGTATAGAAGTAAATTTTAGTTGCTACGTTCATACTCACTGCAGTTGTTAAACAAAATGTCTTTTACATCGTTCATCATAATTATCATACAATTTGATAGTCATAAAATAATTGGCATGATCTATATATATATATATATATAGGGCTAACACTTGGTATTCTCTCATTACATATGTTAGCAAGTAGTTGCAAATAGGAGTATAAGGAAGTAGCGATAAACATCAGTTAAAGGTATGCTTGAGTTGGTGTTGCATTGTGTATCTTTTGCCAGGAAAGTTTCATAACATTCCTGTAGATAGCAGTACTGCTTAATATATTGTAACGTGGATGGTGCAACAGGAAGTAGGGGTCACATGAACTCTGCGTTTCCACGAGTGACATCACATACCCTCACTCCTTCGATCACTACACAACGCTCAGTAAACACCCCTCCCGGCTAGGCTGTGACTTCACGCCACAGACAAGTCCGTGCAGCGACTATTGCCAGGCAATTGGTAAACACGGCGATTACACAACAGGGAAGCGAGGTGTGTTTTCCACTGTCCGGCTGAGGGTTTATAAGAGAAGCTGGAATGCCTAAGGAAGGCAATGGGAGTCTAGCAGTTGCCAAGTGCAGTTGTTCATTAGCAGTCAGTTTCCAGCCTTCGAAGAGATGAGGTGAAGTCCAGCAGCCACGAGTTGTTGTATCGAGTGAATGGCAGTGACTACAGCAGGAGAAGTAATTGTGATACTGCAGATGGCAGTAGTTGTGAAACTGTGAAATGTGTAAGTGTAAGAGCGAATGTGCAATAAATTTGCTAGATCCAAGACCGGCGTGAAGTTATTTGTCGCATTACACACACACCCAGCACGTGACAACATATTGTATTCTATATCCAGTCTAGTATTTTAATATAGCTGTGTCTCCTCCCCAGAAGTTTTCAAGTTTGTAATGTGCATATTTAGTGAAATCCTGATTTCAGAATACCCCACAAGGGCTTCATAGTAGGTAATTTTATTATTTACATAGGTGAATATGAAAAGTACAGAATTTTATACTATGTTTCTTTGATAGAACTGTATTACATATATCTCAGAATTTGTATATTTGGTATTAAATTGGTTTCAAATTGTGTTATTGATGTTAGGCATTTTTTACAAAAAAAAAAAGGCTTTTAAGAAAGCTGTCTTCTTGGATGTGGCGCCGTGTAGAAATTGTGTTAACCGACGTTTCGGAGAAACGTTTCGCCTCCATCTTCACAGTAGAAAGCAAGAAATCTGCCAGCGAGCCAGCTAGAGCAGGTGCAACATAATGGTCAGTTTCGATGTAGTGTCGCTCTTCACCAGGGCACCTATAGAAGATACTATGGATCTGCTAGGATGACATTTTGAAGAAGATATCTTGAGACTCTTCCACCATGTCCTGACCACGTCATACTTCAGCTTCAATGGCCAGTTCTATGAACAAATCGATGGTGTGGCGATGGTCTTGCCACTGTCTCTGATCTTTGCAAAAATATATATGGAGGACTTTGAGGAGAGGGCACTTGACTTGGCCCCACACAAGCCACACTGCTGGTTTTGCTACGTGGACGACACCTTTGTCATCTGGTCACACGGTCCCGACAAGCTCCAGGACTTCCTGAACCACATAAATAGTATCAACCAGTGCATCCAGTTCACNACAACCGGCAGATCCACAGAGTTCTCAACCGTCGGCCCAACATCAGCCGGCCTGAAGACAAACCGGGCTCAGTCACCGTCCTTCCCTATGTCGGGACCATATTCAACCGTATCAGCAGAGTGCTGTCCCGGCACAACATCAAAGCAGTGGGTCTGCCTCCAAACAAATTATCCAATTTCCTCCGGCCGGTTAAAGACAGCCTGGGCCTAAGGACACTGGGTGTATACAGTATCCCATGCGAGTTTGGCAAGGTCTATATTGGGCAGACAGGCCGCTCTGTGGACACGAGGTTGAAGGAGCATCAGCAGCACATCCATTTCGAACATCCAGACAAGTCAGATGAGGCTGAACACAGCATCGATTTGGTCCACCGCATTCAGCTTCAGAATACCTCCATCCTCGCTACCAAGACCCGTTATATGGATCGCATCATTAGGGAGGCCATTGAGATTGAACTCCATCCCAACAATGTGAACAGAGAAGTGGGGTTTTGTTTCCGCAAGTCATGGAAGCCTCTCATCTGTTCCCTCAAGTAACCTCCGAAATATGGCAGACCCTATAGGCCTATATGTTTTATGTACATTTTTTAATTCTCTCATATACATATGAGACAGTGGTCTCTAACATTAAGGGAGGAACATAGACTGAGGGTGTTTGAGAACAGGGTGTTGAGGAGAATATTTTGACCGAAGAGAGATGAAGTGACAGGAGGTTGGAGAAAACTGCATAATGAGGAGCTTCATAACTTGTACTCTTCTCCAAGTATAATTAGAATGATCAAGTCAAGGAGGTTGAGGTGGGCAGGTCATGTAGCACAAATGGGGGTGACGAGGAATGCATATAGGATATTCGTGGGAAAGCCAGAAGGAAAGAGACCACAGGAAAGACCAAGATGTAGGTGGGTGGACAATATTAGAATGGATCTTAGAGAGATAGGATGGGATGGTATGGATTGGATAGATCTGGCTGAGGATAGGGACCAGTGGAGGGCTCTTGTGAACACGGTAATGAACCTTCGGGTTCCATAAAATGCTGGGAAATTCTTGAGTAGCAGCACAATTGGCAGCTCCTCCAGAAGGGCTCATCTCCATGAGTGAGTAAGTAAGTACATATGAGACGGTATTCTGATCATGAAAAATTGATCTTGAGATTCTGACAGACTTACATATTTTTGGAATGCTTCTGTGTATATTTATATATGTATGTGTTCCTCACAAGTGCCTGAACATTTGGATGTATTCTGTTCATATTCAGTGTTTAAAAGTTTGTCCTTCATTGGCCAGTGCCTGGTGAGTTTGAACTTTCCAGCTCTGAAACTAAAAGATCTTCAGATAGTTCACAAAACACAAAATGCTGATTTTCATGAAAATAGCTCTAACAATTTTAGTTAAAATGTCAGAATTTGTGGAAAATCTCATGTGCAGTTTCTGTTCTTCATCTCTTACTCTTTCTCATAATCCAGATTACATTTGGCTTCATATTAGAATATCTCTTATTTCACTTATCTGTAATTGGCATCATCAATAAAATTGCACATCTTGTATTGTATCCACATCATGTTAATTGTGAGTTTAGCATAATTTGAATTGGATGACCAGGAAACAATGTATCAGGACGGTGTCTGCTTTAACAATTAAACACTGTGGATTTGATGTATTTCTCATGTTGTTTTCATGTGTGATCCAGCACGCACGTGTGGCAGGTCCAAGTGGATCCAAGGATAACCCACCTAACTACTGTGTTCAGCTTCTCAGCTCTTTCCAGCAAAAAGGTAAGAAATACCATTACTTGACATTTGCAAACCAAGTTCTTATAGTGGTGAATATGAAGATTTCTGTCTTTTGGAATGGAACGCTATATAACCTGGTAGAAGGATATGAACATTTTGGAGGAATGCTGTCTTTGTGTTCAGTGTTCAGGATGGAAAACAGGTCTGTACCTTTCTGCCATATTGCAGAAGACAGTAGTCTCTGCTTTATGAGAACACTGTTTCCATCTACCCACATGTTTTATCTCCAGAACTATTGAATGAATTTTGATTAATTTGGTATTGGTGTAATCTCTGAAAGTTTCTGTGTGAATTTGATTTTTATACATTTTATACAAGCCAACTTTATATGAAATTTAAATCAAACTTATGAATTTTCTCAAAAAATGAATCATAACATGAATAATTTGTGTGTCATTTGAAAATCTTTTTCTAGCATGTTTCCATTTTATTTATGTTGATGAACGAACTGTCTAGTCTCCTTGCTTATCACAATCTTTCCTGTCAATTTTCTTTCCTCTCATCTTGATGTCTTCCAGTGCTAGCTAACCATCTTGTTGCTGATTATCCCATATGTCTCTTTCCTTTTAAATTTTAATGTTGATATAAGTTATTAATCTCACTGAGATCAAGAGTATGTTCTTTGAAGCATTCTTATTTTGATGAATATTTAAAATAATACAGGAACAAATATTTTGTGGCTGTATGCAAACTGATGACTGTAATGTTACAACTTTGAGACAACAGGTTTCTGTCTGCACTAAATGAATGTCAAGGTCAGTGATTGAAAATTGTGAATAATACACTGGAAAATGTTACAGGCTATGGTATTCCCCGCTATAATTACACTGATAATATAGAGGATGGGTCAGTGCAAGCTCAAGTTGTGCTGCCAGACACACGGGCGTTCACTGGAGACTATGCCCCTACACGAGTGCAGGTGGGTAAAGTAATCACACACATTTTCTCCTGCTCCACACACTCTTCTTTGAGTTAAGGGATTTGGTTCAAGGTTCTCCTGTCCACATTCATGATCCATCAATGGTCTTAGGATCTTAGGTTCACACAGCGGTGGTTATGAGAAGTTCTATCTTCTGGATTGTAACGCTGAGTAGTCCATTAAAGTCAACTGACTTCAGTATTCTTAGCATTTGGCATGTTCCCTTATGAAAAATTACATTTGATTAGCAGACAGATTGAATTCCATGGTCAGTAATTCTCAGTTCTTGCAGTTTCTCTGCTTCATGCTGGAAGAACAGCACACCTCTGTGTATGTGAGAGGTGTGAAATTTGAATGCTAGCCATAGCACTGGACTTCACTGTTTTTTTTTAATTCACCAAGCAAGTTGGCACAACTGTTAACATTTCTAGCATAGTTTGGCAGGTTTCAAGTTCAGAATGCCTGTTATCTTGATAGAGATTTCTTCTGGTTTTCCTTAGACCCTCCAACAAAATGCTGTGCCTCCTCTTGGGTCATAACCTCTTTGTTTCGTAACCTTTTCAATTCATTTTCCACTAGTCATCCTACCATTCTGCGCTATATGGTTAGATTACTGACAGTATCATTAAACTAGGATTTTGGCATTAAGAGAGGAATGTAGACTGAGGGTGTTTGAGAAAAGGGTGCTGAGGAGAATATTTGGACCGAAGAGAGGTGAAGTGACAGAAGGTTGGAGAAAACTGCATAATGAGGAGCTTCATAACTTGTACTCTTCACCAAGTATAATTACAATGGTCAAGTCAAGGTGGGTGAGATGGGCATGGCATGTAGCTTGCATTGGGGAGAAGATGGATGCTTATAGGATTTTGGTGGGAAAGCGAGAAGGAAAGAGAAACCACTAGGAAGACCAGGATAGAGACTAGTGGCAGGCTTTTGTGAACATTTAAGTGAACTTTCAGGTTCTATGAAATGTTGAGGAATTCTTGAGCAGCTGAGTGACATGGCTCCATGTAGTTGGTATGACGGTCAGTCAGTCTCTTCCATCTGTGCTGTATGGCATCTAATATGCCTACATGGACGAATACATGATATTTTTCTGTCCTGGCAGGCCTCAGAGAGTGCAGCAAAGCTTGCTCTTTCTCAGTTGTCACTAGAGTCAGATCATCAGAGCAATGGTCTGGCATCTGGCATGGGGAAGCCTGGCACCAGTACTCTGCCCATCCCTCCACAGCAGTGGTACCAACACCAACAACAACAGCCTCCCTTCCCTGCACAGGCATTCCACCATCAGCAGCACAACCACCAAGGTATGGTCTATTATGAAGTAATGTTGGTGTTACGTATGCACTTATAAACTAAAATAAAATTTTGGTATAACTATTAAGTTTCTTGGTCTGCTTGATTTTGTTGCTTTGGTATCTCATGCTGTTTCACATTTGGATGTTGGCAGATTCTAAAGCAGACTGGCGACATGGGCCTGGTCCAGAAATGATACCTACTGGTGGACCTCCAGGAGGGAGACCATTCTCCCGACAGTTACATTATCAGCTGCCACCTCCACCATTCATGTACACCTCGTACCAACCCCAACATCAGGCTAGTGTCTCTCAAAAACATTGCACTTTTTTAATTCTCTTGTTTCCTTTCATAATCATCCCTAAAAGTTAAAGTAGTATATGATATCATGATGCGTGTGTGTACGTGTGCCCCTTCTTACTTGTGAACCAATTATGAGTTTTCATGACACTTGGTATGAACATGTGCCATTAGAGGCCACCCCCATCTGTGTTGTTTTTAATTTCATATCATCAGTGATATCAGCCTAAGAATGCAACAGAACAGTGATTCTTAACCTGTTTTGTCACCTGGACACAGAAAGAAAACCAGTTTCCAGAACAGTGTGGTTTAAAAGAGCTGGGAAAGTTACAGTATGCAAAGTAGCAGTCAAAAACTGTCCTCAGAAGCATTTTGACTTAGGTTTCCCAGTTTTGTTTCCAGGCAGACATTTCATTGTGGTTTCCTCTACCAAGAATCTCCATCAACATGAGATATTGAAAGTAAGACAGTAAATGTGTTAATACTGAATTCTCCTCATATAGCAATATTGGCGAGGCAGTGGGGCAGCTAGCAGTTCTACTAACTGGAGACAGGGGTGCCACCAGCAGTCTGCTAGAGACTGTCGCCAGCAAGAGGTATTTTCCTTTACTATGTGGTTGCACATTGACAGATATGCTAATCAGTGTACAGAACCAAAAAATCCTAACAGAAAGGACTCTTGAAAAACCTGGATGTAGATAGAGGATAATGTTATAAGGGATAGGTAAATATTGAATGGATTCATGTAGATTCAAGTGGTGAGCTACTTTAAACACAATAACAAACCTTCGGGCTGCATAAATTATGAGAATTTAAAGACAGCACCTGTCAACTCCTCAAGAAGAATTTTGCTCTCTGGAGTTTGGTAGATACGACATTGATGGCACATGGCAGAGCAATAAGTGGTTTTATGTTGTATTTAACTAAGCAACAGGAAAATATATAATGGTTAATTTTCTGGACATTGTCCATCATCTAATTTTTATTTAGAAACAGTGTTTTAGAGACTGAATTCTGTCTCTGTCCTCTGGTAAAAAGCTAACCTCTAAGAATGGAGCAGTGTCATCATTCAATAAAGATTAAGATGATGGATAATGTCCAGAAAATTAATCATCGTATTAATGTACCACTGTCACAAACTTTTAGATGTCATGGAAAGTATATACTGTACACTTTGAGACTATAAGAGCTACACTTTTCTTTCCAAATTATTTTATATCAGTTGTATTGAATTATGACATTGATTTTTGGTGTTGAAAACAGAAAGGATTATAAATAATGTGTTTTAAAGTTTTTGGAATTATCAGGTTTTGAGAACTGTAGTCAGGCATATTTTTATCAATTAATTTTTATAAAGTAACATGTTATGATTTGGAAGTACAGAAACAGAACTAACACAAATGATAGCAATTGTGCAGGAAAGTTTTGAATATAATGTTGGTCTTGTCAGTTGACGAGCCATTAGAGCCATTAAGCCAAGTTATGTGCATACTAGATGTATGTCATTTAATATAAAGTTCACCCAAGTCTTCAGATCATTGAGGACCTAAAAATTAAAATTTTTTTGCCAAAACAGGTCACCTACTTTGTAAAGACTGGGGAGAAGGTATACATTATGCGACAGAATGACTTGTATATCTGTATCAGATAACACAAATTTGTGATTTACATGTATACAAAGATAGTAAATTTCTTCGAATACCAGTGACTCAAGCCACCTTCCAGTGCCATCGTCTACTTCTGTTTGTAGCTGTTACAGACCTCGTAGTTATATGCAGTAAAGATTAAATTTGAAGGGAATCATGACACAAGGTATGAATGAGAGCTCATGTTCGGCAGGTCTGGCATGGTGGCAGTACAAGTAACAACTGGAGACAACAGCCAGTAGAGGAGCCACAGCACCAGTTCGTCCCACTACAGGCTGTAATGCAGCAGAGAAGCAGACTGCCGGGGGCATCTTTCCAGCAACATGGCAGCAGAGAGTGGCCCCAACAGCAACAACAGCCAGCTGTTCAACAGAATATGTCACCACATGTTGAAGCCACTGTTACCAGCAAGGTAATAAAACATACTTGCAATGTAAACCTTGACATCAGTAATTTGTTTGGCTTATATTTGGGAGATAAAAAGTACAAGAGGAGATTGGCACTACAGCCCACCAATGAGCCTTGGCTCTCTTGTGGGTGTATTATCCCAGTCTCTCGTAACATTCGGCCAAAAATGGAGGTGATTTGTTAGTTTTCTGTGATCACACTAATTTGAAAATGTTTTTCATGTATCTGATTGTGGGCTCTTTGTATTCCAGGAGGATCCTGCAGTGGATCGACCGAACAGTGTTACATCCAAACCTCTAGTTCCCCGTCCTAGGAAATCTCGTATAGCTGCCAACTTTAACGTGGATATGTCTGATAACGCATGAAGGGAGTGGTGACATCTGAGGAGCAGGAGGGACACTGTCGCACTGGATACCTGCAAAGAAATTTGATATCAACAAACTGTAATATAGGGGTACTATGAATTTATGAATGTCATGTTGATACCTTTGCCACTGGTAGTGAAACCATAAATTCATTAACTCACCTACCAGTACAGTGTAAACTCATTTTTTATTTACTGAGTGAAGCACAGCTGTGTTTCGCATTATGTTAGCTTATATCATCAGGAGATATTATATAACAGTTCATTTTATTTGTAGCAATAAAGAGTATACAGCTTTTACAATGTAGTTTGTTTTTCTGTTATTCCTTATGAAACGTTGTCCCAATTGTAAATTATCATATTCTCCAGAATCAAATAATAATCCCCATACAACACCAAAAACTGAAGAATTAGGAATCTATAGTACTATAATGTTTACTTTTTTCAAATTTCTTTACTTTAAGTGGCAAGGTTGATGGTAACAATTAATAAAGACACAATTCAGTGATTCATTTGTATGCATAATTTTGACTGGCACAAGATTCCAGCTGTGTAAGTTTGTCAGATATAACCGCAGAGTTTCACATCATGTTTATAATTATTAACATATTAAAAAATGTTTCATACAGAATCTGTAGATACTTTTATGGCCAATCTTCTTACAAAATTTCACAGGCTTAGCTCCAGTGGTTCATTAATTACCATTATCAAATCAGAAGCCAAGTAAAATTGTTCACAGCCTCCACATTTGTAAGCTACGTTCACCCCTAGCACCAAAAGAGATACTTTGATTTTTTAAAAATACTTTACCACATGACAGTCAATTATTCTACATTAGATGTTGTAGAACTCTTGCCTTGAAAGCCCACAGAACTCCATGTTGGTACTATTGATAGTAAGTATGAAAAGTGGAATGACCTCAGGTGGTACTATGTTAATATTGTACCAAATTTAATGGAATTCTGAGAATTTCATCAAAAGTATGTGCTGATAAACAAATGAACTGCACAAATTTAATGTTGTTGGAATCTGAACTATTCTTCCCTATAAAATAAATAACAGAAAATAGATCACTTAGAGGAAGGAAAGTCATGACACACATCCTCTTGAATGTTTCAGCTTCATAGTTTCATATATGCTGTTTACAGTGTATGAGATTAAAGGTTCTTGCAACAGTGACTATAAAAATTACTGTTTTCCAGGTAGAAGTGGACTCTTCTACCAGGGGGGGGTGAAACTCCCATAGGGGAGAGGGAAACATGCAGAACACCCATCTATATTCAGCTACATGAACTAGATTGTCTGGAAATGACTGGAATCGATCATAATACATCTAACGCAATTAATCGAATCGCATAAGTGTGAGCCGATATGAGGATCTTAGAGAACGCGAAGTGATTGGCTGACAAACTGTCGTTAAAAATGGAGGTTTTAGTGGTGAAGAGAAATATTGACGATAATCTTGTTATAACATAAGTTTCTCTTTCGTATAATTGTCGAAATGGAAATTGTTATGCAGAAGTACACGTGTAATGTGTTAAAGGAAGTAAATACTTGCTGCGATTGTTTGTAATAGCTATTGGTAGCGTTCTTCATTAATGAAAGAACTAGCTACGCACATGGAATTAAAAATTATTGGTAACGTTCTTCATTAATGAAAGAACTAGCTACGCACAAGGAATTAAAAATAGTGTAAGTATTTGAACTTACACAGCAATGTCTGCGGAAAATATGAAAGTTATGTGGCCTGTTTAAAGTGGGGTCTTACATGTAGGAATGTAGCTGACATATTTAACAGGTACTGTTGTGGACCATGACAAAGCGGGGAGACCTGATATTTAGCATTGTAACCAATTTTGCGGAAATCCGAATTCCAGTTCTGCGTTGCAGATTCCAAAAATTATATTCAGTACAAACTAGGTTATCTAACGAACGTGCTTTAATGGCAAAATTTGTGGAATGGAAACAGTTTGCATGTCGCCTAGCTCCATTCTAATAAACTCTTAAGCAGCAAGGTACAGTAAAAATTCCACTGGATGTAGTACAGTTGCCGGATCCAGAGCGTATACTGCACTATAGCTGTTTTTAAATGACTCATTTCACAATATCCGATTTCTTCCTCATCTTTCTGTTCAAGTTTACCATCCAAAAATCATTTTTGCCAGGTCTTTAAGGTTTCTTTCGCAAATGACATACGAAGTACATATTACCCCACCTCCTATAAAGATCTAAAGATGCATTTGCTAGTTTTGAACAAATTGTTGTTACATTTTTTCTTTTCCTCTATAGAGAACATTTCATGTAACGCCTTCAATAAGTCTTGTAGTCTTTAAGTGTTCAGGTATAAAAATGTTTTCCAGGAATCTGATCTTAAAAATTCTGTGCTGGATAATGTTTTTAATGCTTCAGTCATTGGATTGGGTCACAATGGTTTCTTAAGTTATGCAGGATAGAGGTTGTGTATCACAAAGTGTTATGGAAGAGTTGTTATGAACAGTGTGATAGGAATGGTGGAATGAAAGTGATAGTGGCATCTGCTCTACTTTCAATGTATTGACTGTGTGTTCCCTTGGACAGAATGAAGGAGGCATGGAGAGTCACACTTGTTATGACCAAGATTGAAACAAGGTTCTTTTCAAGTTTAAATCATTTGTTGTGCAACTGACATAAATTTCAGTTATGCAGGTCCACTATTTTCAGTAATTCAAATCTTGTTCTTGTAATTATACTTCTTTATTGGTGTGTAAATGTGATGTGAAAGAGAACTCTTTAACAAACTCGTTAAAAACGGTAACACAATGTTAGCTTTTGAAGTGTCTTCTGTGAAGCACATCTGACCATTATGAGACCCACCACAATCCTTCCCAGTATCAAGCCCTGATATTGTTGGTCATCCTGTGTTTGTTTGGGGTGGGGAAAAAGGAATGACCCTCTTAGAGGTTACCCTTCCAGCATTCCCATTTAGTTACATACTATTAAACTAGCTGTGTAAATTATACAGGACTCTTAATTTTAATTGAGCTAGTGCTGGTCTGAAAATTGTTTTTTATTTATTATGTTATTTTTATTAGTGCAAATATTGGTCATATATGTAGATTATTTTGCATTACCCAGATTGTATCCCTAGTACATCACACAGATGCATTTATCATGCTAAAAAACAAGATTTTATCACAGTAGAAGTGTAGTCCTTGATTCCATAAAAGATTTCATAACAGTAAATGTGGGTTTCCAGTTTGAACACAGATTCAGCAATATCCCACACATTGAGCAGTGGCAAATGGATGGGTAACACAGCTTCTTTACACACTTTTCATCATAACAAATGCCTATAATTGCTGGCCCAAAAAAAGATCCCCTCTCCATCTTATACAGCACCTTTGTGTAGAATATTTCTGGAAGAATGAGAGAGTAGTATCATAAATTGCACCATTCTGAACAGCCAGTTCTTAGTTCCAGAAGTTAATGTTAATATGCTCTTTCCTTTGTGGTCACACTAACAAGGAGATGAGTTCTCAGTGCCTTGCTAGAAATAAACCTGAGTGTCCAAGCTGAAGCTAGTCACTAATTGTATGTCAGCTGTGACAGCTGATCAGTGTTTGTATTGTCTTTGTTGTCATTATCATTGATGTTTGGGATTTGCCATTTTCATAAGTGCCCTAGTCTCATTGGCCAAGTTTATGACCATCAACCATTGCATTCACTCCACAGATTTTTCATAACCACTGTGTTTTGGCCTACCTTTGCACATTTTCACGTTGGTTCCAGTGAATTTGTAGTTTAGCAACGCTTTCTTTTTACAAAGTACACCTGGTCTGTCTTCCATATTTTTTGACCATGATTTACAGTATCTATTTTAATATGACTTGCCAAATTTATATGCTTTAAATCATTTCTCATGGCGATTATGCTGGTTCTTTGTTCAGATCGTTAAAATCATTATTTTCTGTGTAACAGCCTCCTGCTATTATGACACAGTGAACTCCACAAACGCCAGTAGTACAGGAGCTTGTTTGTTTATTATTTATTTATTTATTTACTTCATATCCATCGACCATTATACATGATTTTTTTTNACATACATGGTATCTCTGTTTGTGGAAAGACAAGTAAAATACTCCCTTCTTAGCTGCGAGTGTTGTAATCAACACGTGTTGATTACAACACTCGCAGCTAAGAAGGGAACACACATCACAAGACGCGGTTTACACAGAAAATAAGAAAAACAACCCAGTAGTGAACGAACCACATGCAAGTTTTAATTAAGACAAATAAGATGAATTATCTTAACAAGTTTTAGCAAGTGTAAATTTATCATAGTTGACAAATACGGACTTTTTAAATACTTTTTAAATGGTGTTGTGAAAACATGAGGGCAAGCAATGCAATAGATTGACGTAATTGGGACACCTGATGATGGCACTATGTTGCCGAAACATGTTGTGAAGTGACAGGTGAAATTGAGTGCACTACAAGACGGCCACTGTAGACATATAATGGATGAAAATCAATGCAACAGGACGCTAAAATATAACATTACTGGGAGCCTCCCTTGTCTGGTTGACATACGAACTTCCTGCTTTTGATCTCTTTCAAATAGCACCACACAGTTAAGGGATGGGTCTTCTGAAGTTTTCTCTGTTTCATTCCCCTGGGTTTCTGCAGCCTTCTCATGGATAGTATCTTCTTTGTATTCTAGTTGAGTAGCCTCGTTGTTACAGTGTGATTGGTTTGAACAGGTCTGCATCTGTGGAACAGTTTCATTGCATGTTGGGAAAAATCAGTAAACATTTCCCTTCCCGAGGAGCAATAATTAATAACTTAATTTGCTCTCATTGGTCTGCCTCTGTACATAAAGTGGTTCAGCTGGGTTGAATGGTATTGTTAGAGCATGTTTTATTCTCATTTGTGTGCTGAAAGCTTTCTTACAGTGTTCTGTTACCCTTTGTTGACAGGCGTATGGCGCCATGAGTGAAGAAGCTCCGAACTACACCCAGAATTCACTCCCCCTGCACCATAACTGCATGGTGTCCTTGCTGTGGATGTCTTGTTATTTGGGGAGCTGAAATTAGGGTATGTTACTTTTTAAAATCTGTTGCTCATATGAAATTAGTGTAGTCATATTCAAAATTCAATTCCAACTTATTGAGTTATGTATTGGAGCCACTAGTTGGTTGAGTGTATAATTGTTGCTCTTTGTTGAGTGGGTTGAGATGACTCCATTGAAGGAGAAATTGGTGTTCCAAGTGACAACAGCCATTGGGTTGAGATGACGCCTTTGGAGAAGTTGTTGTTCCAAGTGACGACAGCCATTGGGTTGAGATGACTCCATTGGACGAGAAATTGCTGTTCCAAGTGACAACAGCCATTGGGTTGAGATGACGCAATCGGAGAAGTTGTTGTTCCAAGTGACGACAGCCATTGGGTTGAGATGACTCCATTGGAGAAGAAGTTGCTGTTCCAAGTGATGACAGCCATTGGGTTGAGATGACGCAATCGGAGAAGTTGTTGTTCCAAGTGATGACAGCCATTGGGTTGAGATGACTCCATTGGAGAAGAAGTTGCTGTTCCAAGTGATGACAGCCATTGGGTTGAGATGACGCAATCGGAGAAGTTGTTGTTCCAAGTGATGACAGCCATTGGGTTGAGATGACTCCATTGGACGAGAAGTTGCTGTTCCAAGTGATGACAGCCATTGGGTTGAGATGACGCAATCGGAGAAGTTGTTGTTCCAAGTGACAACAGCCATTGGCTTGAAATGACACCATTGGAGAAGAAGTTGCTCTATAGCTACATAATTTAACTGTTTGTAATTTGTGATGTCTGTAGGTGGCAGAGTCAGTACTGGAGAGACACTCAGAAGGAAACACGGAAGGTAGTTCCATTGTGCTGAATGCTACAGCAGAATTCTGCTGTACATTGAGTGACATCCCCATTTATGGTCTGGCTGGCAACAGGGATGAGGACACCAGGAACTACTTGTGAGTGCAATATAACCATCCGCAGATAAGTGTACACTTGGCAAGGCACTTTGATTTAGCATGTGTCAAGACTAGATACAGTCCATTGCCCATCTACAGTTATTTACTGCATCTGCAACAGAATTAGAATATATTTTAATTACAGTTGAATTCCATGATATATATGGATAAATACCGTCTTAAGTGCAACAAATTTTATTGTAGTTTTTACTACTACTAAAAACTACAATAAAATTTGTTGCACTTAAGACGGTATTTATCCATATATATTATGTGAGTGTAACAGGATGCTGAAATATAATATTGAATTCCATGATATTGAATATGTAAATTACTGAACTGGAAACATCCAACAGAAACCCTAGAAATGAAAGCACTCGATATACAATAAGAATGTGATAGTTG